ACGTCCATAATTTATTTAAGAAATCAGCTTGTATGAAATAATAAAAAAAAAAAGAAATTACCAATTCCACTTCCTTTTGTGTCCAGTAGTTGAGCAGCTGACGAAGGTTGCTCCGGTCATTTACTGCATAGTCAATGCCATCACTCTCAAAACCATAGGCATAAAAGATTAACGCCCAATATTATCAACTTATTTAATTGAGATTTAACTAAACATCTCTATAAACCCAGACTATAACAGGACAGTGTTTTCTAAACCATGCATTATCTTTCTTCTCTTATATAAATAAGAAAAAATGTACTATTGTTACCTATCCAAAATCATGCTATTGATATTATGGTACATTTCTCTGATGCTAATTTCGCTTTAGAAACGTTTTACCAATCAATTTGTACTTTCTATTAAGCAGAAGAGCCTGAGCACCCGAAAAAAGTAACATCCAGTATAGTATTTGCGACAGGAACAATATAAAATGTTGATTCTATTCATATTAAGACAGGTGTAAAATATTAAGGGAATATGTCATTCTGTTCAGAAAATATTACACAATAATGGAAAAAAGAAATTTTAACACCCTGTATCTCCATTGAGAAGCTAGATAGACCATATGTTAATATTTCTTTCAAAATATCGTTGTCTATCGACTGTTAAAGTCCTGCTACAAAAAAGGCAACTCACCCTGTACAGGGTGTCCCAAATTCCGTGTACAACGAGCTACCACATGCTCTGACGTCAAAATAAGTCGATTTAACTAAACTTACCTATGTACTATTATTTATTTAGCCGCTAGAGAGCGTCAAAGTTGACATAAAAATTTATTTTTCATTAACTTTGTAACGCCCTTATGAACTTAATGAAATTTGGTGTGCTAGTATGTTCCGACAGATGGCCATTTTGACATTTGAATCAAGTTATTCCATTAACAGGGTGCGAAAACTGCCCCTACCCCAGAAGTTCTCGTATTTTTTGTGACTACACTTCATCTTAATTTTTATCACAAGGTTAATCAATTATTTAATAGAAAACTTTTCTCTTGTAAAATTTTTGTATATTACTACCGTTTTGCGCTGAAGTCCCTTCATTGGCGTTCTAATTACGATTTTTCCCTACCTACTTTAAAATTGATTTAAAAAAACAGCAAGTAAACAAACTTAAATAATAATTTATTGAGACTTAATTAGGTGTTCCAATGACCACATTTTCATTAATAGTGAAATCAATCCTACTTAGAGAAATTAAAGTACGTCTTCTCCGGGCACCACTTTACATATTGTAAAAGAATATTTAAATGTCAACAGTAGATGAATTGGCAGAAAAAACAATGCCTCTATTTCATAGCCACCACGTTCACCAGATTTGAATCCTTGTGATTTTTATATTTAGGGGTGACTATAACAGGAAAGTTTCACTCATGTGAGTATCGAGAACGAGGAAGCCTTGTGTGGGAACAGAATTCAAAATGCTGTTCAAGAATTGCAGAATGAGGAAACAAATGTACTTTAATTCTTACGAAGGATGGATTTCTGTATTAATGAAAATGGGGGTCATTTTTACACCTAATTACGTCTCAATAAATGATTATTTAAGTTGACTTTTACGTTTTTGTCCTAAAATCAATTTTAAAGTGAAATCAATAAAATCGTGAGAATCGACAATGATGTAAAAACATGAATTCAGCGAAAACGGTAAAGAATACAAAAATTTTACAAGAAAAAATTTGTTAAAAAAATGCTTAACTTTGTGATAAAAATTTAGGGAATGGTATCACCCCCACCAAAAAAATACGAGCAGGTTACTTTAAGAGAAAGAATTTTCACACCCTGTAATCTTCCATTCAAATGTCCAAATGGGCCATCTGTCAGACATTACTTGTCTCTCCAAATTTCGTTAAGTTCATCGACGTTACAAGTTTTGCAAAAAAAAAATTTTGTGTGCAACTCTACGGCCTCTATAATTAGCAGTACCACTTGGTACATAGGAAGTTTACTTGAATCGACTATTTTGAAATTAGGAGCATATGACCTGTTATAAAATATATTCAGTAATTTTGTTAGGAGGACTTACTATGGTGGCACTTAGAAGGGTTACTGACCCCCAAGGGATGCGTATCCTGTGGTCAAATTATAAATACATGTTCCATCAGTTATTTAGTCTACTTTATTTTTTTAAGAACAGCATGCAACGAAAATAGTTATTCTATACGGCACTATTATACTAGATAATGCACATTTGGTTTGAAATGGACGTAATAGGTTAGCGTTTATGTACCTTATATTTTTTTCTGTTTGCTTTCACATTGAAGTTAAAGCAAAATGCGGTCCTGGACAGGGGCAACGAGTTGTTGTCTGACAGCAGTAATGGAAGGAATGATGAGTCGATCTGCAAACAGTCTCCATATCATTACAAGCTCGTAATCTAGAATTAAATTGAAATTGAATCGGTGGTTTTAATATACGCACTGCTTTGCAGGAGGTACGAGAAAGCAGCAGTTTATGATTTTTCCTTACCGGTATAAATGCCGATAAAGTACCTACAAGAATTATTATGATATGCTTTTACCCCACATTCGATATCATTCGTTCGATTTCTTTGGCGAATTATGATGATTTTCTATTGTCCTGTAGTGATCTAGTAGGTGAAGTAAGCGGTGGGAATAGTGGCGTCGATAAAACGAATAAATTAATTAAATATCAGGTGCCTTAACAATACGATGGGTATTTAAATAATACAATTATTAGTAAATAATACAATGATAGCACATTGCATTACATAATATACACTGGAGTAGTTTTCTTCCACAAACCCCAAAACACTTTTTCCACACTCGACGCGTTTTCGACAACCAAGTTGGCATCATCTGGAGATGATTAAAAATAATCTTACCCTAAAAATGTACCCTATTTATACCTAAACTATGGCCGCGGTTCAGTGAACCGTGACTATGTTCACGGTTCAGGGAACCTTGACATACTAGCCAATACAATGGGCTGTTTGAGATAGGCTCGTTGTCACTATTCATCCTTTTTTACATTTTACAATTTCTAGACTTTCAAAAGCATCTAGTTGTCTATTATTGGTTACATTTCTAATTAAACTTAAGTTATTAATATCTATCCTATGATTGTTATCAAAAGCATGTTGGGCAACACTAGACTTATCGGTCCTTCCATATTTAAGATGAGCCATATGCTCTTTAAATCTAGTTAAGATTGAACGTCTTGTTTGTCCAACATACTTTAAATTACAATCCTTACAACTAATTTCGTAAATCCCGGACCTGTCATTTACTCCAATTGTATCCTTTGGGTTGCCTAAAAGTTGTTGTAGTTTTTATTTCCTGACGGGTGAATGACTGTCAATCCTATGTCTTTGAAAATTCTACTAAGACCACGTGTAAATTGAGGTGCATATGGAATCGATACAAATTTTGAATTTTCGGTGTTAGTCTGAAAGGTCGAGGAATTTCGAAGTGTCTCCTTAAACCTACGCTTCGTAATTAACCTATTAACGCAATTTTCGGAATAACCGTTAATCTTAGCTATACCCTTAATCAATTTTCTCTCTTTTCAAACCTCTCTTTACTGAGAAGGAAACTTAATAAGCGGCGAACTAAAAAAATTGAGACTCGCCATTTTGTGTTGATAACAATGATGAGAATCATTAGGGATATATCTGAGAGTACTGGTATCTTTTCTATATACAGTTCGACCAACAAATATTTAGCTGAAATCTAAAGAAAGACGAAGCGATATAAACATGCACAGCGAGAGTAGTGGGTAACGTACGGTCAACAGCAAGCGTGCCCTTCCACGTAGCTGGGCGGTGACTCTACGTCTATAATGCATGCGTTTCACCCATTCGCCAGGAACTTTCTGTTTATTACATTGTTACCTACATTGCTTTGTCCTTCTTTAGATTTCGGCTAAATATTTGTTAGTCTATCTGTATATCAAATTCTAAATTATTTTGATTATTCTTAATAACTACCTAATACATCTAAACATGGTAGTTGTCCATTATTTTCAATTTCATACATAAAATTAACTGAAGTGAAGCGACTATTTAATTTGGAAATAAAGCTGTCTACACTTTTGATTTTTGTATCAAATACTGCAGATATGTGAACCGCAGAAAATATACCGAAGGGAAAATATTATAAATATTTCTTAATTATAATTTTTAAATCCTATCTAACGGTGCGTTCATTATTTTCATAAATTGGCTTTTACCAATTCGAACTAGCAAACCTTAAGATTGACCATTTTGAGTTGGCAAAAGCCGGAAATCAAATAAATTTTGGGCATTTACCACATCTGAATATTAAATCCTGGGTTGCACGCGTCTATCCTCGGATTCACCAATTGTAGAGAATGAAAATGCGAACAATGCAGACGAGGGGAACTCGTATGTATAATAACAGAAACGCGCTGTGTTCCCCTCATCTGCCGTTCCACCGCCAGACTCACCTGATTTCAGACTCTCGAATGTTTTCAGTCATGTTTGCAACTATGTCTCACTTATTTCGCAGCATTTTAACGCAAAATAAGAATATCCAGGCACGCTGTACAGGGCTCTTCACGTATATTTTAAAACCCCCTTTAGCTATTTATATTTTTGAGAAAAAATTTGTACATAAAACTTGTAAGTATCATTTACTCTGTAGATTTTAATAGAGTCAACAGAAAAATAGTTACGCATCGGGAATAGAAGATATATAGACTAAAGTTATATTTTTTTAAAATGGAATGCCCTATATTTTTTTAAATTTTTAGATAGATATTTTTTTTGAGATTTCAAAAATATACAGTTCATGCTAAATTTAATGTTATTGTCGCATTGTCCTAAACCAGACGCAGCTGGCCATGCTAGAAATTAGAACTAATATAGAACATGTTAATTTATTTTTTTTGAGTGCCTTTATTTTAACGTGGGCGAGATTTAGCTGTTAGCTACTCTACCATCTAAACCACAGAGAGATCTAAATCAGTGAAAAATTCGCCAGGCCCTACCATGCAGGGATTGAACCTGCAATCTCCTACTTGCGAGCCGACGCGACGCCTTTACCAACTGAGCTACAGACCCCTCTCTTTTACCAACTGAGCTACAGTAAAACAGGTTACTACGGGTAGAAGCATTATGTTACTAAACAATAAACTTTATAAAATAATGGAAACATTATAAAAAATGCTCAAAATGGCATCCTTATTTTCTCCATACATAAGCGACACCGTTTCTTTAAATTAGATTTACTTTTCAAAATTATCTCTGGATTCTCATTTAAGCGTGTTATCTCGGCTAATATTCTATCCTGAAGTTGCTTTATATTTTCAGTTCTTTGTTTATAGCACTCACTTTTTATGTGGCCCCACAGAAATGTGTCTAGCAATGACAAATCGGTACTATTTGGGGCCCACCTAATAGTTCCTATCCATTCTTCATATTTATTGGGCCACCGTAGCCACATCGGTAGTGCGATCTATCTACCGACGTGGAGACGTAGGCAAGGTGAGTTCAAATCCTAACTGGGTCTTCAGATTTTCTTTACTGAAATCTGATTCTAGTGGGATGAGATATGCAACCGCATTACTATCATCACCTGTGTGTTATGAAGTGCGGTTGTATAGATTTCAATCCTTACCTAGCCGGCCCTAGAATTGGTAATGTCCCGAGTTTTCTGGGTTTTCTCGGGACTGTAAAGCAAATGCGTTACCAGAATGAACTTAAGTCGCTCCCAGGGCGCCATGGCAAATAATAATAATAGCCATCCCTTCCTCGTACAAGAACCGTGAGGTTCTTCAGAGGCTTGTATAAGGGTGTAGGTATATTATTATTATTATTATTATTATTGTTCAAAAAATGTGTAACTGCAACTGTGTTATGACATGGGGCGCCATATTGATGCCATTATCATATTATTATAATAAGCGATAGGAATTTCGAATAGGAATTTCTTCCAAACATACTTCTATTTCGTTTGCCAGACGGAAAAAGACTGACGTCCTTGGAATTTGATATCTTTAATGTAGTGTGGATTTTTCTCACTCCAAAAATGTGTGTTGTTCCATAAATTTGATTGAAGAATGGTCGTCTACCAAAGACCATTTTTTTATAAAATTTGAAGCAGATATATTTTTTTCTAGTTCATGCTCTACTGAGGCGGCGCCATTTATTATCATAAACATTGATTCTTAATACTAAGTCAAAACTAAGACCCGCACACAAAACAAACCGTATTTTACAATAAAAAATACAATAACATAGAGACACTACACTAGTTTTACTACCACAGTGCCAGTGGTTCGGTACAAATTTTAATTACCCTCAATTTGTCTATATATTACCCAGTCCACGGGAACCTGCAATAATACTTAATGATATTTGTCCTCAAATTCATTATTTTCTATCAGCTCCCCACGTTGTCAGCTTCGCAAACCGTGCATATGAGGCACTTCTTTCTGCATAAGGAGGCACCCCTATTATTTCGATCAGTTAATCCTCGAACGGCGGTATAAATCACGAACCATCTAGATGAAACAAATCCTTTATTTCCTCTGCCTTGGCAGACTCATTACTTGTATCAGTTATTGTACGAAACTCGAACCTCACGATCCTATCTCAGAAGAGTGCATATGCGTCCATTGTAAGTCGGATGTCAAGACCTGCAGATTATACGGTGATCGGTATATTCCAAAACACGATTTTTAAATCCGAGATCTAAAACCGGTGTTTAGGAAGAACGTTCCACAACGATGGTACGAGCTTATCTGTAATTTTAAAGCAGAGTCGTGTATTGAGGCAACGTACGCTACTGTTTCTGGGTCCATGAAAGGTAATAATTACTCTTATGACATAAATACGTACTGTACTCCTAGGATGCTTGTTATATACCAGCGGTGGTTCGTAAATAAATATACAGGGTGAGTTACTTTTTTGTAGCAGGACTTTAACAGTCGATAGACAATGATATTATGAGACAAAAGTTCCATATAAACATATGGTCTATATCTAGCTTTTTTTACATTATTGTGTAATATTTTCTGATGATGGAGTGACATATTCACTTAATATTTATCACATGTCTTAATCTGAATAGGATCAACATTTTGTATTGTTCCTGTCGCAAATACTATCCTGGATGTTACTTTTTTCGGGTACTCAGGCTATTCTGCTTAGTTTGGAAAAGAAAAATGTATACCTAATTAAATATAAACAAATAAAATTCACTTTGAATTAAGATTTGGGAATTAATAAAAAATTGTATTTACAAATCAATGAAAGCAACAAATTATTAATATTATTGAACTTACCAGATTTTGTCTCTGCCTAATATGTCCGTTAACCTGAAAAAAAAAAAAAAAAATCTGTTACTGTTATAAAAATTATTAAATGTAAAATTGTGAATTCACTACTAGGGCAGCTCGTTAGTGATGCCTCTAGTTTGATTTCAGGATATGGCAAAATCTCCTTTAAATAAAAAACGGGTGCTTTTAAATTAAAGGCCATTTTATTATCATATAAACAAATAATAGCTAGGCATCTCACGGAACACATTTGGAAAGACCTATTGGGTTTTTTTTGCTCCCAGAAGACTGTCTCCACTCTATTTGGTGAGGCTGTTTCCTCCTCCTCATTCAATAGCCTACATATGGGATCATTAGTGTATATGCCCATTCTGTGTAGATGTTTTCTTAAGTGACAGTGCCCAGTGATGAGTCTCGTCACTAGCCTTATCTGATTTCTGCTAAGTCGCAGAATATCGTTTGTCAGTGATTGTAGTTGTGAACCTTTACCGTCCTAACTTACTGTTAGTTTGGCCTGGAATGTGGTCCCAATATGACTGGTGTTTTTTATTTTTCCACCGAGTCAGCCAGAGCCTCACCGAGGATTTTGGTATGCCACACATCTGTTCAGGGCCGATAAGTGCTGTTTCTGAGCCCTTTCTCGCAAGGGTGTCTGCCTCTTCATAACCCTCTACCCCTTTATGCCTTGGTACCCATTTGGGTGTTACCTTATTTTGATTTCCCAAAGCCTGCAGGGTTTCTAGGCAGTTTCAGACTAGTTTTGATTTTATTTTTTTACACGCTAAAGCTTGCAGGGTAGCTTGACTGTCAGAGTATATAAGGATTGTTTTGCCTTTGTATGCTCTTTCAATGTTCTTCCTTAAGCATAGCTCTATAGCATGTACTCCTGCTTGAAATACTGAGGCGTGTTCCCCTAGAGATACATGTTTCCTTCGGTTTCACCATAGATTCCAGCGCCTGTTCCACTGTTTGTTTAGATCCATCAGTATCCCGAACTAATGTTCCTTTCTTATAGTTGGATTCTTCCTTTGCTTCCCAGTTTAACTGATAGGAATGGGTGTTTTAATATATATTTTGCGTTTTTTGGGTGGGAGGGGAAAAAAAAATGTGGGGGGGGGGGGGGGGGGGGGAGGGGGGAAAAAAAAAAAATTTTTTTTGGGCTTTTTATTAATACTTAAAATTTTTTTCTCCCCCCCTGATTATAATTATAATTGGGGGGGGGTTTTTGAAGGGTTTCCATGGTCGCTGTTGGAGTGCTTTTCATGGCACTGGTATGCAAGGCAGGCTGGTTTTAAATGGTCTTTGCATCGTCTTGGTACCTGGTATCATGGGTCTTACCCCGTGTACAGCTGGTCATTGCACACCTATGGTTTTTGGCTGCCATTAGTGCCATTGGTTGTTGTACTGGCATGACCAGAATTTGCATCGGGGGGGGGGCGGGAAACTGTGGATTTTTCTGGTTTTTTTGCGGTTCCTTGTTGAAAAGCCTTGCCATGTTAATTCCCAATTACTCTTCGGAAGGGAATCGCTGGGCCCTTAGTCTTTCTTCTGGCACAATTCTCCACGATTTTTAGGCCTTTTGCATTAGTCTGTAGTTATTCCGGTAATGCACTGTTAAGTTTCTCCAGCAGTTCGTCAATACCATATCCTGTGCGGGGATAGTTCCCGCCGGTAAGCCCCAGATTTTTAGCATCCTTTTTTTTTTAATATTCATACAGGGGGGAACTCCATGTAGTTTTCTAAGAAAATATTGCAGATGTCTTAGGTGCTTTACTTTTTTCATATGGTTATACTTGAAATTGATCCATATGGTTATACATGGTGTTTTAACACCTGGAGTTACAGCTACAGAGTACATGTAGTGTTTGTCCCCAAGTTATCTAAAATTAATATTTGCCTTTTTGTTTCCAATTGAATTGGCAATTGTGCATCTTACTTTGTATAATATTTTCATTGTAAAATTTTTAATTAAAATAGACCTTCATAAAAATTCCGTATAATATAAAAATTTATTTTGATGTTTTTTGTTTTGAGGTTTTCCATTTAAAGTAAAAAAGTTAGTAGTTACCCAGGATATATCGAACACCTGTACATTGATCGATAAAAAAAAATGTTAAAAAGAGATACCAACCTGGGATGTAATGCGCATTTTCTCTGAAAAGTAACAAAGGCGCTATAGAGCAAATACGTACTAAAAAATCACCCTGTATAAGTATAAGTGACTGATTTTCTCTGTGTTGTTATCAACATGTTGTAATGTGTTGATTACTTTTTAATTTCTTTGAACAATTTTTGTGGTCAGTAATACACGACTAGTCACAGTTAGGTCACCCTAGGGTACAAAATATCAGTTATTTATATGATCCCCCCATTGGAGTACCATATAAATAAAACAGTTTCGCCGGTGTTTACATCATTGTACTTATTTTAACAATCTGTTATTGTCCCAACCATCCGACAGGCCGTTATTGAATCATATACACGATTACGATTGTTCTGTCGGGCAAAAATTATAGTCATTATTATAATATGTAAATTGCTGGTAATAATACGTATCAACACCTAACTAAGCGCAACAGATTTAAAAAGTTATCCAACGTCATGCACATGGATTAAATCGTGAAGAAAAATATACTAGGCCTTTTATGGCATAAAAGTATCGTGATGGGAACAACTAAATAACCATGTTTGTAAGTATGAGATCCCTTGGCTACATGTATTGAAAGTATGTAGGTAATACCGCGTGCATATTTCAAGTACTTAATTTTAGCTAAAGAGATC